CTTGGCATATGTAAAAGTTTACAGGAAACCTGTTTAACCGCTGGGGCTGAAATTAATTCTTTTCGTTCCCCCCCCGCTGCTGAAGGAACAGGACCCTCTGCTGCTCAAACCATGCCAAGGTTGTGCGACAGCGGCTTCTAAATGTTGAAAGGACCCTTGTTAATTAACCACCACCACAGTGAGCTTGCGAACACCCGCTCCTGAGCTCAGGCTAGGTCCCCGGTGTCGTAGGGGGAGGAGTTGTTATCATAATGATGCCTTCAGAGCTGGAGAGCAAAATCCTCCAAAGAACGAACTTTACACATGAAAGCACGTTTCTACCAGCTGTCGCTTGGGCTCCATCTGTTCGGTGGCTTTGGCCTTTTGCCCCTCCAGATGGGATCTTGATCTCTTTCCTGAGCGGCTGGTGTAAGTCTCCTTTTCTAGCCCCTGCTATCCCTGCCCCTCCAGTGTTTCTTAAAACTTTCTGGGCATCAAATTTGGTTTTCATTTAATCCGGTCTTGCTGTCCTAGAGCTCTACTCAAACAGCACGTTTCTTGCAAAATTAAACCCGAGGATATTAAAGGGCTTTCCTCTGTCACCTTCACCTCTTAATTAACTTGCATTGCCTTAAAGGTCAAGTGATAAGTAGCAAACAAATGTGTTCTCAGTAGTAGAGAATCCTCGAGTAAAAGCATCCGTGACTTAACTCCACAAGTACTGCCTGATGAACACCATGTGCGGGCATCTGCTACTGTATGAAGATTCCAGCTTCCCCGAAGATTTGTCCTTCACAGTATTTCTAAGGTAATGAATGCTATTTACATTTTATAAAAGGGAGCAGAGAAATTGAATGCCTTGTTCACAAACACTGTGTCGTAGGTAGGAATTAATTCTCTCCCGTGTCTTAATCCTAAAACCATCTTCTCTTCTGTTTGTAGGACTTGGTGGGATAGAGGGGTGTAGCTTAAATTTAACCAGTTCTCAAACTAAGTAGCCAAAATCAGCAAAAATATCCTGTTAGTTTTACAGACTTCTTTCCCCTCCTGTAATCTAACATAGGAATAGATCCCCTGTCACTGTGGAAATGCAAACACCTGAAAAATCTGTAAATCACGTACTCCCCCAGCCATCTACCTCCATGTGATCATCATGAAAACTCTGTTCAGAAATACCATCCTTTAACATCCTCATGGCTGTTCCAAACTGCAGCTCTGCTCCAGAGCGCGTGCTCCAAATACAATGAATTCATTCTGGTTTGATTCCACAGAAGCAGACTTGCTTGTTAGCAGTAATTCTTCAGTGAGCAAAGCTCTTGAGAAAGTGGACGATCAGAAATTGAGGGACTGAGACAGCAGCAGCCTTTCACCACTGCTCTGTCAGCCTGTTCTCAGTGATCTTTCTTTGCAGCATCTCAAGCCAAGTTGCCTCTTGAGGACTGGGCAGGAGGAGGTAACTTGCGAGCTAGTTCTGGGCTAGGAAGACTGCTCTCCCTGCACTATTTTCCCCCTCTTGCCCCAGGTCTTAAGTGTAGGAGAGATGGTGTCTTTAAAAAAAATATAAAGAACCCAATCTTTGTGTTGCTAGTTGTTCCCTTAACCATTGCAAAGAAGCTACTGTAGGCTTAAGGGATGCTTTGGTCACACGCACAGCTCTGTCCCCTTCCCCACACTGCAACAGCCTGGAGGACCCGCAGAAAGAAAAAAGCTGCAAGCTTTCTAGGGCCTATTTTCTGAGCCAAGATTTGTCTTTACCAGTATCTTCAACTTGTCTGTATTCAGAGCACAGATTTAAAGATCAGTCTGCCAAGAAGAAAGAAAATAAAGGAGATTTTTTTCTCTCCTGATTTCTGAAGCTGCCTTGACCCAGTTTAGCTCTAAAGCCTGTTCCTGGGATGGCTCCAACTTGGTTCTTGCTGCACCTCCAAATCTTAAGTCAATAAGAAATTCTAAAACAAAGGCAGCTCTTGTACCTACCTCGAGTCTGAACCCTTCGGATTTCCTTGGACAGCTCTTTCGCTGTCTCTGCTCCAGACTCATGTACTGCGAGATCCCAGAGGAGGCTACAGAAGCAATTCAGGAAGCTATTTTCAAATCAGCACTGGCTTTTCTTCTTGGATGGTTTCAACAACGCTGCCACAAAACAGGTCTCCAACTTTGAGCTGCCAGGAGGACTGCTGTAATAGCTCTCCCCAGTGACAGACTGGTTACCACGTTCTCAGAAGCCTGCCTGCTGGTGGCTTTTGGTTGCTTGAGTTCAGCTGTCTCTAGGTAAAGACGGGTAAACTCCAAAGGAACTGGGTTAGGCTCTGTTAAAGTTTTCACCCTGCCCTACATTCTTCTATTAGAAATGTAAACTCTTCTTGGAGGCACCTGTTGCAGAATAATGATCTTTTAATAGGCTTTTTTTTTTTGGCTTTGTTCTTTTTTCTTTTTTTTCTATAAATAATGTCAGTATCTTCAACCAGAGGGCAGAAGGCAGAGATTGAATCAGAATGCTTGAACTTCTGTTGAAGTGTCACAAAAGGCTTCCTGTCTTGAACAAAGAGATCAGTAATCTACAAAGCATCAACAGAGCTTGTTTTAATTTTCCTAGATACTGCATGACATCTCGGGTACAGCTGTGCAAACGAATCCTAAACTTAATTGTTGCTGTCCAGTTATATTTTGTTTGTTGGAAGAAGGAAGTGTTTTGTGGCAGTGTGTGCATCTAGAAGCAGTTCAGTGGTTTCAAGGATTAAGGCACAGCACCCAGGTTCTCTGCCAACAGTCTGGGCATCACCAGTTCTGCTACCTCAGTCTGTGTGTGCCTCAGCTTTTTTAGATATTCTCCAGTTTACCAGAGAGAAAGTAGGTGCAAATCCAGTACCATTCAGAACAAAACCCCACATCTTTTTAGTCCTGTGTGCTTGATTTGTCACTTTTTTTTTTTCTTTCCCCAGCTGCAAGCAAAGAAAAAGTGTATTGTGATAGTGAAATATTGTCCAAAATGAGAATCTTAAGTACAAACCCTCGCCCTTTGCAGCCAGGATGGTAGATGCTTTGAACACCAGCTCTGTAACGTTTTTAGTTTGGGCTGACTTACTTACCAAGGAATTACTAAAGGGAGTGCTGGTGGCTTGCGTCTCCATTAGCAGATGAGCAGTCTTTCTCTGAGTAAAGAGGAAAGGAAATCAGCTGAGTAGGAGACAGTTATGAAGTGCCTTAGACAAAGCCCTGCAAGTGCAAACTACAAAGGTCAAGGAAGTTATGAAACCATTCCGTCTTCCTCTCTTCTGTCTGTTGGGTCCAGTGTCCTAGCCCTGAGCCCATTTATGACTCAGCCAGTTACCAGCAGGGGGAACTCTTCTTTCAATAATTTTCAAGAAATATGAGAAAAACAACAACAAAAAAAAATGGTCCTTGTCTAATTAGCAATAGAACTGTACTTCTGGACCAAAGAATTCAATAGAATTGGTCTTTTGCTTACAGTAAAAATATAATGTAGAAATCAAGGGCTTCCTCCATTTTTATTCTGCTTAATTTTTAAGCCATCAGCAGAGACTAGATTGAAGCAAAGCTGTGGGGAGCATGAAGATGATCTGTTCAGCAGGACAGCCCTTCATTACAAGCAGCAGATGCATAAAGAAGCGTGTGGGCACCTGCATGTCCTCTTGTCCTCATGCAGCACAAATAGCTGGCTTCCTGCACAGCAGCAGCCATGGGCATCACAGTTGATGTTTTCGAAAACATTTCTGCCAGAATTCTCCTAGGAACCTTGTCAGTTCTTGGTGGTTCCAGGGAGATGAGAAGTCATGCACATACTGAGAATAAACAGCAGATTACATTGCTGCGGTGTTTGTGCCTGTTGTCCCTCCAGGAGGAACTCGTTGATGTATCAGCTAAGAAAGGTGAAGTTTTATTTCATAGCTAACTGAGACATGGCATCCGCAGGGGGGAAAACTTGGCAGCTGCTTTCCTTTTCCTTTCATCTTCCTTGGCTTTATGAGCTCCCTCTGCAACTGCATCAACAGATGTTTAAAAAATATAAAATGTTTAGAGAGTATACGGAGTAAGTTAGGTGGTAGTGTATGTGCATGTGTTTTGTAGAAGCGTATATGATTGTTTAATGCTGGTAATCTGGTGGTCGCAGGATGGTAAAGACTCCTGCTCAAATGGCAATAGTTTAAAAGATAACAAAGTTATTGGTAGTGCTTTGAGATCAATGAGTTACCAATTTTAAAGATGCCATTAAAAGAAACCAATTCTTCAAGAAGAGGGGAGTTGTTCTGTGCCACGTAGTTACGATTTGGTGATTGTGAGCTTAACCTGCAGGCCTCCATACGCTCTTGCAAAGGAAACAGGAATTCCTCTCTGACTTCTCAGACTGAAAAGTACATGAGGATCAAAATAGCAGCTGTCAGGGAAAATACATGCAAGCTTTAGAGTCCCAGTTCAGCACATGGAAAGCCTGTCAGGGCAGCAGGGAAAGGATGTGCATTTGAAATGGATATTCTCATAACCAAATTTCACACTCGGATTTACAGTTCATAACTAACGATTTCGGCAATGGTGAGTGTGGGATGCATCTGAAGAACGGGCAGAACAGTAATTACCTCAAACTGAAACTACTCCAGCTGGATGTCACTGTGCAATGAGGTGTTAACAGTTTTAAGTATTTTAAGGAAAAAAATAAAACAAGGATTGCGTTCAAGGCTGCAGGATTAAATCAGCAGTGAAAATAGTCATTTTTTTCCCCTGCTTTTGATGCTCTCCTAGGGTGCTTGCACTGTCATTCTCTTGTTTGTATTTGCATATGCACACAGGCTCCTGGCCACCTCTTATATATTCTTAATCAGCGAGGTTCAGATTCTTGGTGAAGCTAACGGTCCATTTCCAAAACTTTTTATGAACAATTAACCTGGTTTAATAAAAGTGTTCTGAAGACGACATGTTTTTCATATGCCGTATGGTACATGTTGAAATCCTGACTCATTTAGCAGAGGAGTTTTGCTGGGAAAATGAAGAAAAAACAAAACAAACAAAACCAAAACAACAACAAAAAGCTGTTGGGGCAGGGGGGTCAGGTGCAATGTGTGGGTTTCTTCTTTCCCTTCCATTAGGGTCAGGTCCTTCACTTGGTCCTCAGTTACTCCAAGAGCAGCACAAATGTGCAGCATCAGTCAGTCCTAAGAGCAGTTCTCTAAGAGCATAGACCAGATGTGAAAGAATCCCTAACAATTAAAATCCAGATGGGTTGGTCATGAAAACCTTCCATCACTTTGAATGAAGACTTAAGTCTTCTGCTTGACTAAAACGTGAAAAGTGGCGTGGAAAGTGAAATATTTTAATAGGTTTACATAATTTTGGGGACAGCAAGCAAAGCTTTCTGTAATGGTTGGACGTAGAGGTTGTATTCCTGCAGATGGGACCTTTTCATCAGATGTTGTTTTCATTTTCCTTTTAAATGCAGGCTTTTACACAAGGCAGCAGTAAGGAATTTTGCAGTGGCTCTGGAACATGAACAGAGAGCATGCTAGGCCCATTTGTAATAGCCTCTTTCCATTGGTAGAAGAATCTGTCCTCCAAAGGATTATCTCCCACCTAAAATTAAACATTACAAGGCAATAAAATCTCAACCCTGACGTACACTCCAACAGTAGCAATCATTGTCTCCATTTTCTGTGGTAGTGGAAAAAGCAAGCAGTTGAGTTTATATCCTCTGGCAGTCTGATAGCCTGACATTCATTAACTAAACTTCGTAAAATCACTTCTCAGAACAATGCAAACTGTTTTCCACGCAAATATCACCTCTCCTATTCGTCATCAGCTTTGAGGAGCTGGCCCTGCTTTTGAGACAAATTTGCAAGTTCATCCTCTTGTTTAAGTCGTTCTCAGAACTGTAGTGTGACTTTCTCCCAAGGTCTTCGCAGATCTCATTTAGTGAATGTGGTAGGCTGTAATTTGTTAATTAGTTTTACGGTGAACGCGGCAGGAAAAACAAAACTGTGGTTTCAGGATTAAGAAACAATACCCATCTTGGTGAGCAGATTCTGCTCCTGCTTTAGGAGCTGTGTGGCAATCCCCCGACCTCAAGTGTGTAACTGATTAGTGGCAGTTTTACATTTTTGTATGAACAGCTGGGCTAGATTTGCAAAAAGGGAGTGTTCACAGCTGCACCTGGAGAGATCTAAAACTGATCTCAACACATTGACCACAACTGAACGACCGACTTCCCCGAGTAACAAGGCCTGAAGTTTATCAAGTTGAGCACTTTAAATTAGTGCATAGTTTCTACATAAGCTTTATTTTCTCTGATTTGGTAAATTCTATGATTTCCCCCCCTCTGCCTACATTCCACTTAAAATCACTGGGGTACTGCTTAACGTGGTTTCATTAATATTTCTAAGCAGCAAGACACCATTACCTGATAATTGAAATGCCCAGGAAAAAAAAAATAAATAATGATTTTGCAGTTGGTAAATATTTTAGCAAATGTGAGTTACATAAAACTTGGGCAGCCATACAGGATGCAACATTTCATTTCGTCATCTGCAGGCTTAACCAGTCACAGTAAGGGACAGCATAGTCCTGAAGAAAAAAAAAAAAAAAAAAGGAGCAGTGCTGAATAAGAATTTACTGAGGGCTGGTGTAGGAGGATAGGAACAGGATGGGAACATCAAACAAGATAAGCGTGGTCTCCTTAGGAAATCAGGTTAAGGATAATGTGATCGTACAGTTAAAGACTATAGTTTGCAGCTGTATATGGGAGAAGCAAGATATAACAGAGAGAATTTACTTTTGTTTTTTGTGGCTTCTGAATGCTTGGTTTTGAAGCAACTTTTCTAGAAAAAAATAATTATATGTAGTAACTGTAATTTCTAATGAAATTAAACAATCTGAATCCACTTTGCTGCCATTTTGGTTGCAGTAACTTAATGGCATAACAGTCATTGCAGGACTTTGCTAATGAGAAGGCGTAAGTAAAGATCGAGCTGTTTGGCTCTGTAAGAATGTTCTAGAGGACCATTGTTTAAGACACAATACTTGGTAGAATTTGTGTATAGTGACAATTAATAATAACCTTTATCATTGTGGTTGAAAACAAAAATGTAGAAAGCTCTCCTCTCTTTTACTAGCATAAAAAGTAAATAAAACAAGATGGCTTCAGGATTCGTAAGTAGTTAGCTAAGTAATTGAAAAAATCTTAATTTGTGTAATCCTTAAAAATCCTAGCTTTTCCATACCTGTTATTTCCTGCAAGGTCCAGACTGCAAACGCACTTTTAGATTTTTCCTTTACTCCATCACTTCTCTTCATTGTTGCTTACTTTTTTTTTAGCTGATTCATTTCTCTTTCTCTCTCTCTTTTTTTTTTTTTTCCCAGCGATTTGAGCCCTTTATGCTCATTCATACTCTCATACTCTGTTATATGGAGTGAATCTTATCCTTGATTTTGAAGTCTTTTGTTCGATTATCTCTCTGTACCTGCAGAAGGGGAAAGCAGCCGTGATAAAAACTTTAAACTCTGTTCCATTGCATTCCCACCTCTCTACTAAGGAAGATTGCTGTGATAACATTGAAGATTAATTTTTGTTTGTGGAGAAAAGCTGGTTTGAATAAATTGAAGGACTTTTGACAATGTTCTGAGGTCCTCCACTCTGCAGGTGCTAGCAGAGTTAACAGCGTCTTAGAGAAAGGAAAATAATTTCACAGACCATTAGGGCTGGTGGGAAGCAGCAGGATCAGGTTTTAATGAATACAGGATCAAAAGCATCTTAAAGCAAAACAGCACTGAAAACAAGAGCAGGCTCATCAGGGAAGACAGGAGATGCTTCTAACGAGAAACAAAGGACCAACTCAAAGACATTTGGGAGTCACTTTCTCACAATAGTGCATTTTAAAGTATAATTTCCTCTTCTAAAAAATTAGCTTTGATACTTTTCCAATACGTGTAAAAATAGTACTACGAACAGATTCCCTGCAATTAAAATCTCCCAAGTCAGAATTTTTCCAAAGGAGGTCAAGACTTGTTAAACAATGTTTGTCTTCTCACAAATAAAACGTGTTCTGAATCACAGCAACAATGCTTAACTTAAGCTACTTTGCAGTATTTTTACGTCAGGAAAGCAAATTCTGACAAATACGTAACCAGATACTGGAGGGTTCTGACCTCTCAGGTCAGAAAGGGTGGTACCTGAAGAATTTTGGTACCTGTAACATTATACGTTGGTTGCAAAAGGACTGTTTTCAGTCATAGTTTTTAATCTGGATGCCTAAAAAGTCACCTTGTTTCTATACTCTTCTGCATCTCTGCTTTGAAACTGGAAGCAACCAGTTTCTAAAGTCATCCTGGTTCCCAATGTTGTCATTTTTATTATTACTTTAATAATTTTATTTTAGTATGAAGAAGCCGCTCAACTTCTCTACACTGTTAAAATTTTTTAAAGGACAGGTAATATTCAACTTAATTTTCTTATTCCATGCAATACTGAGGAGTTAGTTAATTTGTAAAACAGTTTGAAAAATGTCTTAATTAATATTTGACTTAAAGGAAAGGTTGGAATACCGGACTCTATCTAGCTCAGTACTTGCTATTCTGTTGCAAATTAAATTTTGAGGAAAAGGGATGCAGAAGAAAAAGCTCACCAGTTTCCTCTCCCTGGAGAATCCACAGACTGACTTGGTTCAAAGCAGCCTGTGTCTCAGAAGCTTTTCCTTTCATCACAAACCATATCAGCACTTACTGTTCTCTAGTGTGTTCTGCTAGTGCCAAAGCTTAGACTCCTTTGACAAGATAAATAATAATGTTGGCTTTGTACGGGGCTAGGTGAGAGCATGACATTTTCAAGAGGCTGGAGGAGATACCCTAGCAGAAGTCAGACTGGAGGGATAAAACCTATTTGATTTTCAAATGGCTAATATTATTTCACAATGAAACCATAGGAAGTCTGCAATACCGGGATTTTTTGTCTTAAAGTTTAAACAAACAAACAAACAAAAAACATATCCTCAAGCCAAGAAATGATTCCACTACTGCTTGTGAATACGCCACAGCATTCCTTTTGCATTGCATACAGAAAATGTGTTTTATGGATTTCTCGTTGACATGAGGAGAGGTGAATCAAATAACTTGCAATATTTGTTTGACTGTTGCATATATAAAAGCCTCATTAAGTCTCCCCAATGATTGGAGACGGATTTTGTTTAGAATGATTTTGTTTGTTTTTGCAACAAAGACAGCGAAAACAGGAAATAATTAAATAACTGTTTTCATACTCTCCTGATCATCAGAAGCCTATATGAGATTTTAATTAGTGCTGCGTTTTCAATAACTCTGTAGCCGTACGTGTTGCAGATTCTTTCCTGGATAACAGGGAGATAATTATGAGAATCCTGTTTTTCAGTCTCTCACTAAAGGGATGGCTGATACATTTAATCATGGTGTGGAAATGCTGGCAGCTTTCTCTGAGTTCAGCCTCTCTCTAATTACATTTTTAGATTTTTTAGTAAATTGAAAGGGAAAACGTAGGAACAAAATAATTAAAACCAAAGGGGAAGTGAATATTAAAAAGCAGGAGCTATTTAAAATTCTTGCACACAACTCTTTTACGGACATCAGTTTAATCAGCTTTGCATAAAAATCAAACTTACATTTACACAAAAGTAACACTTGCAAACCTATTTGTGTATGAGTATTTGCCAGTTCTTTTTGTGCAGAAAAAAAAAAACCTGTCCTCCTTCAGTCAGGTGATACCAGGAATTATAACCCCAGTGAACGCATTTGAGGATTTGGTACTCTCACATGCACATTGGTGTTGGAACACACCAGCGCACTCCCATGTGAATTTTCAAGGTGCAAACACCTAGGAACTGTCCGGTAATTTTAATACAGAATTGGATTAAAGATAGACAATAGGGTTTGTGAAGAGTAAGTGACAGTATTTCACTTGGTATCTGCCACTGAGGAGGCCAGAACTGACCCTAGATAACTTTTTCACATGGTGGAGGTGAGATTACACCTTCATTTTCATAGATATTTATCTAAAGTTATTTATCTAAATATCACCCAATTTAATTTTCTACTTCCTGGGAACAAGAGAACTTTGGTCAGAAGGATGTCATCAGCTGCAAAGGAGGCTGACCTCCCTCCTGCCATGTGACGCATGGACAGTCTTGAATTAAACGAGACATTTCTGTTTATTCTAAAAACAAACAACACCAACAACAAGCGGTATGAAAACTCCTCAACCTAAGCAGCGGGGGGTGAGGAGGATCTTTTGTTTCTCTAAAACTGGTCCTTTAAATTTCCTTCTGCGTTTCAGCTATAGACTATAGAAGAATAAGTACATGAGTAAAAATGCAGAGTTTATGTTGGGAATCTGAAAGCCAGAGAAAAAGGAAAGGGTACAAAAATAAATTTCTAGGAGAAACGTGTATCCAGAATAGCAGTGGTACGACCATTTCTCTACTTCCCACGAGGCAGTTTTATAGCATTTCTTCATTACAATGCAGCATTACCTGCTGTTTTTTCACCATGGGCAGCAGTTTGTGAAATGAAGGAAGGAAGCAGGGTCCAAAAATCAGTCATGACTTGGATAAGATGCTTGCCAAGAAAACCCAGGACACTGCAGAAAGTGTTAGCAATGAGAAGGGCAATATTGTCCGAGTCAGTAGTGGACAAAGGTAGAAGTCGAGTAAATAGGACCGGCTGTGCTATGAGAAGCGCCATTTTTCACCTGAGAATGAGGTCAGGAATAAAACGAGTGTGCGTTTTTAGTTTAAGTAGTCATGATATGTATTATACATTGTAAAATTAACTACAATGCCTTTCCAATTTCATTCACAGCTTTCACATCAGTTGTTGCCCCATAAAAAGCCACTGAGTCTCTGACAAAGGACTGCTATTCTACGGTGCAGGATAAGCTTAGGAGAGTGGAAACATATTCGGAGTGGGAATATATTCATTACAAACTACAATTTCACAATCTGGTGTTGAATGCCTCAGAAGCTGTAATAGGCTACTATCAGTATGTAGGACAGGTAACACAGAACATGGTTTACCTTTGCTAAATCCACCAACATATATAGATATAGGTATGTATGTCTCCTACCCTCCTTTAAATTTACCTCTTACTGCATTGTTGGTAGCATTCTGTATTCCAGCTCAGCTCTATAGTGTCTTATAAATAGCTGGATAACTTGGTTATAGGGGTGTTTATTTGTGCAGCTGGATTAATTCACTCCAACACGAGACTGAAACTCAGACAGGAAAGAAAGGCTAGCTCAGGATAAACCTGTACAGGTGTTTAATTAAGGACTACTAACACTGAAAATTGTGCCTCCTCTGGTTGCAAACCATTACAAATGAGAACAAGGGAAGGCATGTGTATACAAGAGAAAAGGTTTACCAGTAATTTGGGCTGGAAGGAACTTTGGGAGGTCATCTGGTCCAGCCTCCTGTCCGAGCGGGGTCACCGGCGTGATCTGCCAAGGCTGCTCAGGGCTTTATCCAAACAGGCTTTGAAAACTGCCAAGGATGGAGACTGCGAAGCCTCTCTGGGCATCCTGTTTGAATGCTTGACTCTCACCATGGTGAAAGCTCAATTTATAACAAGCCTCGATCTCTCGTTTTGACTTTTGTTTCGCATCCCTCCTGCCACGTATTACTGTGAAACGCCTGACTCAATTTCCTTCATAACCTCCTTGTAGGTACTCCTTTAAGCTTTGTATTAAAACCCCTTAATGGCGGCTGTAAGACAGACTTGCTTTATAATCCCTTTTGTTTTTAAAAAGGTTTAAATAAGACTTTGCCTTGAGAAACCAATCTTCCCCAAACCTTGGCAAGAAATTCTCACTGCACACAGTGGGGGAAAGCCTCTCTTTAAAAGCCCTGCTGCCCCAAGTGCTGTGGTGGTTTATGACCCTATATTAGACGAAGGATGAGAACTATTTGTGCATTTTCACTTCACAACACCAAGCCCTGCCCTCAGAAGCATGAAGGCAGGGCAAATGAAGAGGGGCAGATGAAGGCAGGCATCGCCACAGCAGCAAAAAGAACGGATACTAAATTAATAAAACCTAATGGAGCTCTGAACAGCCCTCAGACCCTAAAAGGACCCTAAAAGGACCCCAGAGGAGGCTGAGGGAATGGCGGCCGCACGCACCGCCTCAGCTCGACGCCCTTCCCGCCTTTTTCCCCGCCCCCCTCCTCGCACCCCGCTCCCCCCCCCCGCCCCCTCACAACCACCTCGCGTGGCGCATGCGCGGTGCGGCCGCCGCTCGGCGGCTGCGGGGCGCTGTGGTGGGGGAGCGCGCGGCCGCGTGAGGGTTGGGCGGTGCGAGGAGGCCGCCCGGGGCCAGCGGGACCCTTCGCAGGTGAGGTGGGAGGGACCGTGCGGGGCCAGGAGCGGCAGGAAGCGGGGCGAGGACTGGAAGCGAGGCCGCAGGGACCGGGGGGAAGGCGGCGCCGTCCCCTCACGACCGCCGGCACCCGCTGTGGAGGTGTGTGTGAGGCGGCTCCCTCCCGGCCCTGCCGCCTGAGAGACCGGCACGAGCCAGGCCCCCCCCCCCCCCCGCTCCGCTCCGCTCCTCCGCCGGCTGTTCAAATGGCACTGCGACAGGAGCGGCGCCTTGCCAAATAGTGAGCTCCGTACACCCTAAGGGACACTGAGGGCTACTGCGCATGCTCCGGAGCGCTGCCAGAAAGTGAGCCACCCGTCAGGCGGAGAG